AACCACATTTTTGGAAGACGGGAGGGGCCGGGAAAGTGTTTCTGTTTAACCCAAAAATTTGGGCCAAAAGCGGGGCCCCAAGGTGGGGTACCCCCAGCGAAAAAACCCCGGGGGGGGCCTGTTTTTTTTGGGCGGGTTTTCCAAAAAAGAAAAATATGGGGGGCCCCGGGGGAAATTCCAGAACCCCCGGGGGGGTTTTAAACCCCCCCGGGGTTCCCCTGGGGGTTTTTTGGGGGGGGAGGGGCCCCCCCCCCCCCCCCCCCCCGGTTCGCGGCGATTTCTCGGCCGAGCGCAGGGATGGCCAGCCGGTACCTCCTGTGGGGCAGAAGCATGGGGGCGGCGTCCGCCCTGCTGTACGCGGCCCGGTACCCCAATCACGACCTGTGCGGTCTCATCCTGGACAGCCCGTTCTGCAGCTTCAAGCGCCTGGCGAGAGATCTGGTTACCGAGGGGCAGGCAAGGCTTTTTTTTTTCTTTTTGTTTTCATCACGAAAATGCTGTGGAACACGACAAGGGCTGTACAGCAGTATCTATGAAGACCGATAGATGGACTGCTGTCCTTTGGTTGCACCATCCCTCTGCTGCTGTGGCACTCGTAAAGGTTTTGTCTTTCTTACCTTGCGCGAGCTCGATTTTTTCGAGCACAGAGGCTTAGTTGCAGTGTGAGTTTTTCGCAGACTCGCCACGCTGGTTCCACCGCCGTATGTATGCACTGCCGGCGACCCCGCTGATGCCCCCCCCCCCTGGACCGGCGAAAACCCGGCATACGGTTCCGTCCCGGCACTGCAAGGATGCGAGTTATTTGGTCTTAACGACTACGGCAGGCGCTAACATGACTACCCCCCTCTTTTTTTTTTTCTTTTTTTCCCCTACAGGTGAACGTGCCGGGCTTTCTCGTTAATGGCGCGCTGGGGATGCTGCGGCACAGCGTGAAGAAGCGGACGCGTTGCGACCTCAAGACCGTGGCGCCGATCGCCCGGGCGAGACATATCCGGTGCCCCTGCCTCTTCATCGCCGCGAGGAAGGACGTGATGGTCAGGCCCAGCCACGGCGCGGATCTGTCCGAGGCCGTGGGCGGGGCGAGCCTGTTTGTTACGTGCAAAGGGTCGCACAACACGGCGCGGCCTGGGTGAGAGGAGGGGGGGAGAGAGAGAGAGGATTGGTTCGGTTCTTGTTGTTTGGTTTAGGTTTTGATTTCACGTTTTTTTTGTGGAGAAGAGAGAAAATAATACAAGGTACGCCTGCATACGCCATCCCCGTGTTGCTTGTTTCGAAGGAGCGAATAATTTTCAAGTTACATCGTCTCTTATCCACAGATCGGAATACGAGCAATGATTTCAAGGTGTTTCGAGCTGCTTTGTACGACTTTAGGGAGATCGTCCACGGTCACCCCGTATCTGTCGCTCTCTCTCTCTCTCTCTCTCGTGTTGTTGTCGTCGGCTTCCCCACCACTCCACCCCAGGGTTGTGCTTCCATAGTCTTGGGGCATCCTTACACGTCTTCGTGCAACCACCGTCACCCCGTCTCTGTCTCTGTCTCTTGTCTCTCTCTTTCTCTCGTGTTGTCGCCGTGCTGCCCCGCCACCCCACCCCAGCATTGTGCTCCAGGCGATCGGCACCTTCGTCAAGGGGTGCTTCCAGGCCCCGGGGACTCCCATCTCGCAGGCGTTCTCCACGATACAGAACGCGCTGCAGGAAGCACAGGCCACCGCGGCGGCTCTCAGGGCCGGCAGGGGCTCCACCTCCTCGGCCTCCTCTTCCGTCACCACCACCGGCGGCGGCGGCGGCGGCGGCGGCAGGGGTAGGGGCAGTACCACTAGCGCCCGCCAACGCGCGCGAGCAACGTCGGTCTCGTCCGATCTCGACGTCGGGGCGAGCGACCCGGGGCCCCACGTTATCGGCACCGGTGACGGTAGGGGTAGGGGTAGGGGTAGGGACAGCGGTGCGGGCTCGAGGCCGGGCCCCGCACGCCCGCTGGCTAGGCCGGGCCCGCGGCGAGACGCGGAGATGGAGAGGGCGAGAAGAATCACTTCGGCCGCTGCAAGTGCTAGGTGTGTGTGGGCAAGGAACAATACTTTTTTGTTGTTGTTGTATTTTTGCAGGTCTGATGAAAACGTTTGGCTTGTCTGTGTGTCTTTATTGATTGCATCGACCGTGCTAACCGGCTGACCAATGAAAATACGTCAGTTTGTAGCATAGTGTGTGTGTTTTATGTGCGTTGCGTCGTAGTGTGACGTTTCACGGTGGTCCCGATGGCCCTTCTCGTCTTTCGGAAAACAATCCGACGTTGAGGCACACACGTCCTTGGGAATGAAGGCGACGGTCAGGAGTTGTTGGCTGCGCGAGGGGTGACCCAGACGTGCATGCCAACGGCTTCTCAGCTACCATAGACAATCTCTCGCTCAAGTTTTTGTTGCCGTGCTATCAGGCTTACGCTGTTTTTTCATATTAACCCCACCATTCCGTTTGTTGCCGGAATGCCTCATATTTCGTGGTGCAACGGCGCCTTTTTTCAAGCGACCTGTCGTGCGCACAGAACAATTTGACCCCGTGATCTAACCCACCAGCCCCGCTACCGCTACCCCCCCCCCCCCCTCACAACACCCGGCACGGCAGGAAGTCTTTGAGCCATTCAGAGTCGCCCGTTCCGGACCGAAAGTCCCGGAAGGCCTCGCGCCACGACGCCCACAACCGACGCCGATCAAAGTCTCACGACGAGGACGTCGTCGATCACCAAGACTGCGGCGGCGGCTCAACCAGCAACAACCCCGACGGCCGCCGCCGCCACGGCGGCGACGGCGACGGCAGCTACGTGCTGGAGGTGGGGGAGTCCCCATCCTTCGATCTCGCGGCTGACGGAGAGATGGGTCCCGACGGGGAGGTCCGCGCGGTCACCGTCGAACGGCGACCGGGTGGCGGCGGCGGCGGTGGCAGCACCGGCGCCAGCGCCAGCAGCGGCGGCAGGGGGGTTTTACCGACGAGGCTTCTGGAGTGCCCGTACCCGCCGAGGAGGCCGGGCCAGAGACAGACCGCTGCCGGCGGCGGCGGCGGCGGCGATCTGGACGGGGGTGGCGGCGGCACCGGGGAGCTGTCCCCGTACCCCTCGCCGCCGCCGCCGCCGGCATCGTCATCGTCCCGCGCGGCGGCTAGTGCCACGACCCTCGAGCAAGGTGGGTGGAGAAAGACGGCGCACGGCAACCCTACTGCTGCATGGACCACCGCCAGGAACCCAGGAGCACTGGGGCAGCGAAAACCAGGTGCGGTCGCCTTGCTGTTCCCGCCGCCGCCGCCGTCGCCGCGGCGACCGACCACGGGCGGGAGCGGGGTTTCCGCCGGGAAGGTGCCGGCGCCGGCGAAGACGGCGGCGGGGGTCGCCGCGCCAGTGGATGATGCCTCCTCCGAAGGCGGCGCGCAAGACCGGCCCCGACAGAGCTACAACAACGGGAAGGATAACTGCAGCGGCGAGGGCGGCAGCGGCGGCGGAGCGGCGGCGGCGGCGGCACCGCCGGCGCCGCGTCCAAGGCAGAACGCACGCCGCCCGTCGAATTCTTCGCGAAGGGGGAGAGGTTCGGGGTGGCTTGGGCTGGGGCAGATGCGGCTAGCGGCTCCCGCGCTGTCTTCGGTGTTTCGCTCGAGCAATCGGTCTTCGGCAGAGAGACGGTTCCATTCCTCCGGCCCAGTGAGGGGGTTTCCGTTGGACAGGTCGTCGGACAGAAGCAGCGGCGGCGTCAAGCGCTCGCCGGGGGCGCAGCGGCAGCAGCGGGCCTGCACTTGCGGCAACGGTCCGGCCGAGTGTCTTTGCTACGTGGGCGGTGACCTGCATTCGTCGGAGATGATGCGCCGCGGCGGTGGTCAGGACAAGACGATGCGGGCGCCGCCGCTACACATGCGCACGGCATCCGGCAAGCTGAAGATGTGACGTCGAGCTTGCCGCGGCACGGCGATCATCTGCCCGGGGACCGGGTGGCTGAGAAGCGTGCTGCTGTACGGCGTACTCTTAGGGAACGTTTTTTGCAGTGTTGTCCGCTTGAAGTATTTAGATAAGGTGTTGATAAGTCTTGTGGACGTATGGAATTTTTTTTCGTTTCATGTATGCAATGCGTGTGTGTTTTCTTTGGTAATCGTGGTAATGGAGCGTGGGTGCGTGTCCTGTAACTTGTAGTTGTTTTTGCGTTACTACGAGAAAACCGCGTGCTCTGTTGTTCGGATTCCGTGTCCCGGTGTCTTGGAATGGTTGATAAATGCTGTAGAAACGAATGAAAAGGTAGGAGAGAAGTGCTTTGTTTTGGGCGTCACATATGCCACCCATCGGGTTTTTGTTGTCGGAGAAGATAGATACAATCCTTAGCCTCTTTTTACCCCTCTATGGACCTCACGAAGCCGTGCGTGCAACTAGACACGGCTGCTCTGTGTTTGTGCCGCAGCTTGGTGGCCAACAAGCTCGGCCGCACTCTAGTCCCGATCGCAGGCTCTATTTTGTCGAGTGCTCCTGTTTGTCCGTCTGCTTGTTTTTTCAGCGCCGAGGTAGCACTCCTGTTCTTCCACAAACGTCAAGACCACGTGCGTATGTGTTCGTGATTGATTGTCTGCCAGCCGCTAGCTAGCCCAGATCGTACGTTCAGGATGTATCTGTCAACGAGGGACAAAGAGACAACCGATTCGAGGTCTGGGCCATGCTGCCCTTGTCCCGAGCATCGCACGGAGTACCACAACCAGGGTCTCGACGAGAACATCATATGCCTCACCCCCCCCCCGCTCCGCCAGCACTTTGCTACCCTGACATCGATTCCCCCATCGCAAATTGGGGGGTTCTGCATCGGCAAAAAAAAAAAAAAATGCTTGTATTTTTTTGGCAGAGATCCTTGCAAAGAAACTCATCAGACTGATTTCTCGCAAATTCCAGGCCGTTCGTTCCCTCTTGGCGGTGCTCTCGCGAGACCAAACTAAGACATGGCACGCAGTCTTACGGCTCGCCCCGTCGAGTCGACGGGATGACGGCAGCTTGAACGCTAGCATACGAAAAAAGTCAAGTCACTTTGGGGCGCCACTTGGACAACAAAACCAAGTCATGCTATCTCCACGCAAAGGAGTTCGCTCTGCAAAGTTAGTTACGATGACGAGGTTCGCGGCCCTGCCTCCGGACACACCGGCCTTCGCCAACGCACCGAGCGTTTCGCCAGGCAGCAGCAGCAGCAGCAGCGAGGCCATTGCCTGCACTCTATCGGGCGTCGTCAACATCATCGTCATCATCATGCCCTCAGGCCACGGCAGCCTCAGAAAGTGCTCTCTCGAGCTCGGCGCGCAGGCCCCCGCCCAACGCTAGCCCAGGCTTGGACCGTCCCACAAGCCGAACGTACTCGCCTACGAGGTCGTTCACAAGGGCCATGTTTAGCAAAGCGGCACAAGCATGGTTGTTTTGTGCGGTGTATCCTGTGAACCTGTTACTCGGTTCTAATTAGAGTTCACACCCTGTAGGATGTCCGCTGAATATTGCTGCTTCGACCGTACATAGACTAGAGCAAAAATCTGGTATGAACTACAGCAGCTCCATCTGGAGCTTTTCCACCTAAAGTATGAAAGCGCAGATTATACTCCCAAGCGCATCACACACGTAGTGATGAGCGTTGGCTGTGTGTGGCGCGCCTGTTTTGAACAAGCGCGCAAAGATCGAAGTCCCTTGCGGTACTTGAAGCAGTCGTCGAGCCTACCGAATGCGAAACGTTTGGTTAGCCGGGATGCCCAATCAACCCATGGCATATCCTTGTCGAAACGTTTCGTTAGCCGGGGTGCCCAATTAACCCGTGGCATATCTGGTTTGGCCCAGCAAACGCAAGGATGATGACACTAATACCAGCTTCTGCTTCATCCTTGTAAATAAAACGTAGCCTGGGCCGTCAAAAACCCGGCACATCATTCCGTCTCGGCATTGTAGGAATGCGAGGTTTAAGGTCTACCGACTACGGCACGAGCGTACCCCGACAACGAACGCACCCCCCGTCCTTCCGTTCGACTCACCCCACGTTGGGCTTTCCCGGCTTGCCTCGAGGCCAACGTCCCAGTCCATATACTTGCCGAACTCACTGCGTGTGTAACCCGGGTTTCCCAGGCAGTTGCGGAAGACAAATCGGAGCAGACGACAGACAAGCACGTGCAAGCGAAGTTTACATGCAGTGCAAACCCGGCGGCACGTCTTCTCGGGGTCATGGCATGATTGAACCGCCAGGTATGGGGGGGTGCCTCGTGTGTTGGGGGGCGGCGGGGAGGGGACATGTATGCGCATCGTCTGCTCCGGTGGAGAGGGGAGAGTACGCCGCGCGGAGTTGGTCACGCGGTTCGACAGAGGCAAGGCTAGGGTTAGGTTTGCTAACCCTAGCCTTAAGAGCGGAGGGGGAGGTCGTCCCCTTGCTGTCGCTCCTACCCCGAACCCAAGCCCCCCCCTCGGCGTTTGTCACCGGGGTTGGGTTTTCGTTGCTTGGCAACGACGTCGTAAAACAAGCCGATCACTTCGTGAGCTCGGCAATCAGGTTACCGCTTTTTTTTTTAGCCTCTGGTTTTTTCTTTTGCGGTAACCATAATGGTGGTCGAGTAGATCATGTTGTGGGGGTCTCGCCGAATACCTCGCGGTGCTTCGCGCTTGGTGATGTGATAGCCTGGTCCGGTGTGAACCCGGCATGCTCCGTCCCGGCTTTGTAGGGATGCGAGGTCAATGGTCTAACGACTACCGCATGCGCGACTATGAGTACACCCCCCGACCCAAACCCAAACAAACCCAATGGTGCTGTACTCCGTTCGGGAAAGTGTCCGGATTTCCGTGCCTCCTGGCCATGATGCAAAACGCAGCCAGCGTTCCACCCCGCGGGGCTGGTGAAAACAGCACAGCACAGCACAGCACAGCTAGCTCCGGGTGAGAGAGGGCACTTTTCAAAAACGCGAGGTACAGGTAACAATCCCAAAAACATCTAGCTCCGTGCAGAGAACACCCCACACCCCGCTTGTTCTGGAACTTAAAAAAAACAATGGCAAGCGGCGCAACCTCGTAATAAGCAAAGTGCACCCTTCCCAAAGAAATTTCTGGCCTTCCCAAAATAGTGAACTTGGCGTAAAAATCTGCCAAGCGCGGGGGGGGGCGCAGATACGTCGAAACCGATTATCTCACCTCCGGATGAGGGGCGCGTCCGAAGGGCGCAGCCCCGAGAGGCACAAGAGGCCTCCCTCTTTGACGGCCAGCACCAGGGCCGCCATCTGGCGCCGCATTGGCCCGGCTATCATGTTGGCCACCACGATCTGTCTCCAAGGGGGGAGACGCGCACGTGTAAAATGGTTTTTGGCGGCGGCGGAGTCCTGCCTGGAAAAACGACGACTAAAGTATGTGAACTGTATTATGATTGGGATGAGATAGATTGATGTGGCAGCACAGCAGCTGTTCGGGGGGCTCTTGAAATGTCTCATCGCATCTCCATTGCGATTGACGGCAGCGCAAACAACAGTACTACTTAGTACTGGCGTCCTGTGTATCCCCATCATCACCGCTGCACTATGAACTAGTTCGGGAGCGCGTGCGCAGCATGCAAGAGTGTGCACTTGTGTGGTTCTTTTGGTGGAAGGATACGCGCAAAGGAGACAGACACGGACACCGGATGGTCGACCGGACACACGGTTGGCACGGTTGGCACGTGGTGATTTTCTGTATTTACAGGATTCTCTTCTGCTTCCTAGTTATCGCCGATGTGGCATGCGTGTGATGCGGCCAATGACTCGCGAGAAAGCCAGAGTTGCAAGGCAAACCCCGAACGAACAGAATCTACGTTATCGCCACAAAAAAAACGGAATATTTTTTCCTTTGCACGCATGAAATCTTGTCGCAACACAAGACTGTCAGAAAAAGAAAACATCACAGCAAATATCCAGCAGACGTATTCCGCCCCCACTGCTTGCAGAACCCTCGCTGTCACTGCGTGAAGTGCTGTGGATCGGCATCACGTTTCCGCAACAAGCACATGATTCACGAAGTGTGTGTACGCTCTTCGCTCGTTTATTCTATCTCTCCCCCCCTCAATTCGAGTACGTAGAGAGTCACACGCAAAATATGCGGCCGGGAAAACAGATGCAGGATGGAAGGAGTATGTTGAAAGTAGAAAGAGGGTGAAGGAGTTGGTCGTGAAGAAGAAAAAAGGGTTGTAGGAGGAAGTAGTCCAAAAGACTAACGAAGATTTTGAGGGGGGGATGAAGCAAATGTGGGTAGGAATTCAAGGGATAGTGGGCAACAAAAGAGGGGGAGACACGGAAATAACGACACTAAGATCTGCCGAGGGTAAGATGGTAAGCAGTTCTAAAGGAAAGAGGGAAGTACTAGTAGAGCACTACCGCAAACTTGGGACACCCACCACCAACGACAACTTCGACTCGGAGTTTGAGAAGGAAATCAACTCGTGGGCAGAGGAAAACGTTGAAAGATCTCAGAGGGAACGTAGTGATGTAGACGGGTTGCAGGGAGAGTTCACACGAGAAGAGGTAGAGGACTGCGTAGCGAAACTCAAGAAGAGAAAAGCGGCAGGGGCTGATGGAATTGTGAACGAGTTTTTGAAACAGGGGGGGGAGGGGATGATTAACATGTTGGTCCGGATATTCAACTGGATATGGAAACACGAGTACGCGCCGAAGAGATGGAGAGAAGGAGTAGTCGTGAACCTGTTCAAAAAGGGGGATAAAGCTGACCCGGGGAATTATAGAGGGATAACCCTGTTGAGCACAGTGGGGAAACTGTTTGGCAAGATGATAGACAATAGAATGGGAGACATGTTGGAGGGGAAACAAAAGATCAGCGAAGGACAAGCTGGATTTAGACCAGATCGTAGTTGTGTAGACCATGTATATACGTTGAGTAAAATCATCCAAGGTAGGAAAGACGCCGGGCGTACGACATACTGTTTCTTCCTCGATATACAAAAAGCCTACGACACCGTATGGCGCAATGGATTGTGGAAAAAGATGTGGGACATCGGCATCCGGGGGAAAATGTGGAGGATGTTGAAAAAGATGACAGAATGCACAAGAAGTGCGGTGATGTTGGATGGGGAAATTTCGAAGTACGTGGATATACTCCAAGGAGTCGCACAGGGCTGTACGATGTCACCCACTCTTTTTAAGATTTACATCAACGATTTGATAAGGGCGGTTGAAGCAGTAAGACAGGGAGTCCAAGTAGAGGGAAAGAGTGTGTCCGGACTGATGTTTGCAGATGATTTCGTGGGGGTATCCGAAACACCAGAAGGGTTGCAAGAACAAATAGATGCGGCGGTAGGATACACCCGAAAATGGAGACTGTCGGCGAACGTAGGAAAATGCGCAGTAGTGGTCTGTAACGAAGATAAGAAAAATCCCGTAGAATTCAAATGGAAATGGGGGGAGGAAGAACTACCGGTAGTAGACAAGTATACGTACCTGGGAGTAGAGATTTCGAAGGAGTGCTCATGGGACGCACACATAGCGAAGTTGATTGGGAAGAGTAAAGCTCAGGTAGGCAAGATGGACGAGATCCTTACGGACCCACACCTAGACACTAGGATTAAGAGGTGTATTCTCTTGAAGGTGATTGTACCTAAGCTAGAGTATGCAGGAGAGATATGGGAAGGTAACGAAAAGGCCGTCAAGCAGCTGGAAACGGTGCAGATGGCAGCGGCCAAGAAAATACTAGGATGTTCAAGTACAACGAGCAACACTGTATTGAGAGCAGAATTGGGAATGTACTCTCTTAAAACAAAGAGAGACATGCAGAAGTTGAATTGGCAGTACAAGGTAAGTAGAATGTCGGACGATAGACTACCAGCCATGGTTGACGAGGCAGCTTGGGGAAAAGCGACTCCAGGGAAGAAGGGAATCAGATGGGACAAGGTGGTAGAGAAGGTTTGGAAGGAGATAGGAGACGAGGAGGAGACGTTGGACACGGAAGGGTTCGGGGGGTTCAAGACGAAAGTCAAGGAGATGCTAGAGAGTAGGGAGGAGGCAACCCTTCGGAAGAAGGTACGAAGCGAAGACCACTTGGAGATATACGGGAAGTTGAAAGAAGGGATAGGGATGAAGAAGTACTTGGACGGCCCCATGGACTATGCGAAAAAGCTGAAATTGCAATTTCGAGTAGGCGATCTGGACTTGCCAGAACGGAGGAAGAGGTATACCAGCCGTAGGAGAGAGGAAGAGGAGGATAGACACACATGTCCATGTGGCAAATCGGAGGAGAGGAGACCCCACATAGTTGGGGAGTGTGAGTTGTACAGGAAGGAAAGAGAGGATCTCGAGGAGGAAATGAGACAGAGAGGGTGTGACATGGACAAGTTTGGTAAATTAGACAACAGCGAAAAAACGATCGCGATAATTGGGGATAGATGGTGGGCACAAGAGGCCCTAGAGGACGGGGATAAGATGTGCAAGAAATTTTTATGGAGTTTGTGGCAGAAACGTAAAGAGCTCCCAAATGTTGGTGGTGTCTCTAGTAGGTGTAGGAACGGTGCTCCGTCACGAAAGGGACGCGTGGTCAATGGTCAAATGACTACGGCAAGCAACAAATGAGTACGCCCCCCCCCCCCCCCCTCTCCCGGTATTTTACACACCCCTACATGCCCCCTCCCCTGGTAAAAACCCCGGAGCCCCCCAACAACAAAAAACAGTGACGTCCCTCCCCTCCCCCCAAAGAACCCCCATTCAGAATTTCCGGGCGTGGAAAACCCAAACCTTTTCCCAAAACCCCTTTAACTGCCCCACCCAATCACGGGAAAAAAAAAAAAAAAAAAAAAAAACCCAAAGTGGGGGAAAATCCAAAACGGGGCGGGGGAAGAAAAAAATGAATAAGGCCCCT